TGTTATACATATCACAATAAAATGGAAACAACTTACATGTTTAATGAAAAAGATATGGATAAATACATATAATAGTTTTAGAATGCAATATTATCCAGTTATCAAAATTATGTTTCTGAAGAATATTTGATTGCATAGGATAAAAGTCCAAACAAAATGTGTGTAATATGCTTTATGGATATACATATGTTATAACCAGAAACATATATATATATATATATATATATAATCTCAAAAATCTAAAAGATAGACACTTCCCATATATAATACATATATAATAAAATTTCAAATATCTGTAGAACTATATAGAAAAGATTATGAGTGTGAATGTTAATAGTAATGTGGGATTGGGGGTGATGTTTATTTTCTTTGATGATTTTCTATATTTACCAGTTTAAAAAAACAAATGAATTACTAGAGGAAATATCATTTTAAATCTATAATAAATATTGTTTAAATTGGGAGATTGCTCTAGATAGCTGCTAGGCAAGCATGATAGTTACCATGTACATTATGGGTCTGATTAGTCGTATTGAAAATAGCTCCCCTTTCCTCCTTATAAGCAACTTCTAATGCATTAGCCAATTGTCCATATCTGGGCATGTGACTAAACTTGAATCTGTGGGACAGGTTTTCAGAATTGAATCTTACAAGGTGTTCTTCATGCTTCTAAAGCACTTTTCTTTTATGAAGGGGTTGATGGTTGTAGGAGAAAGAGACTTGAAGAACATCTAAATTCATTAACAATTTGTTATTTTCAGAGCATTTGAAAATCTGTCTATCAGCAGATTGACTGATCATCTTATTGGATGAGATAACTCGATTAGTGGCACTGACATTTGATATTTATTAAGTTATAGTTGTTCTCTTGGGTTGCTTAGCTCCAGCTAAGTTCAATTTAAATTGTGAAACAAAAAGAAAATGAAAAATTCTCATTAATAGTTAATTCCCATAATACATGAGATATAATACACTCATGATAATGTTTTCGGTGACCAAATCTCTGCTAAAGTGCACATAAAGGGCAGAATATCAAGAAATATCCTTGGAAAGGTGTGCCTGTTACTTCCATTTGTTTTCTCTTTCTCAAGGGGTAAGCATACTTCTGTTGGGATCATTTGTGTTTAAATAAATGATAATTTTTGGAAGACTAGGCATGAGTTCATTGGCATTTAATGTAAAAAAATGTTTTGATCTTTCTTATGAATTGTCTCTTTTTCAAAGTAGAGAAAGTTTCATTTAAAGGTTAAAAGGTACAGTTGGCATATTATCTTATTCCACAGTTTATAATCTATTAATATCATTTACATTGATCCTCATATTGTTCCTGAATTGACCAATAGGGAAAAGAATGTATGTCAAGATAATAGAGTGCTCAATAGGTCTCAACCAGAGGAGACTTTGCCCCAATTCCACTGGAGGTTTGGCAGGGTCTCCTGATGTTTTTGGTTTTCACACTTAGGGATAGGGAAGGTGAGATGGGAATGTCCTACTAACATATAGTGGTTTGAAACTACAGATGCTGCTAAATATCCTTAAGTGTATTAGACAGAATTATCTGGTCCCAAATGTCAATAGTGCTAAGGTTGAGAAATCCTGTTGTGTATCGATAGATGGAAGAAGTAAACACTGTAAAACATTTACATCAGGATTAAAAGGTATACAGGAATTTTTATACTGTCTGAAACTTTTCTATAAGTCTAAAAATGTTTCAGAATTTCAAAAAGATTTAAATAGGTACAGTTGGCAGTTTGGGTCTCTATACCCCTGTTTACAGCTTTGAGAGAGAAAATGATTTGTCCCTTGTTGTGAATATAAATTCAGCCCAGTTATTGTCCATGATCTGTGAATCCATAGTCTACAGAGACTGGAAGGGAAGTTATAAGAGCTCCCAATGCCCATTGGCCCATGACTGTTTCTGCTTGCTCCACTGTGCAAATACATGTCCTCCTGTCACATCCATGTTTAGACAGAGACCTTCTTAAACCACTCTTCAGAACCTGGTGTGGAAGCACCTGATGAAGAACCTACCCCTCTCCACCCAACTCTGCCTTACCTGTATCTTGTCCCCAGGTTTTATATCTTCTATATATCTTGCCAAGGAACTGTTCTTAGATCATCTTTATGAGTTTATACTCTTGTTTCTTTTTGTTCTTTTTCTTTTCTTTTTTTGGTACCAGGGATTGAACCCATGGATGCTTAACCACTGAGCCACATCCCCAGCCCTGTATGTATGTATGTATGTATGTATGTATGTATGTATGTATTGACAGGGTCTCACTAAGTTGCTTAGAGCCTCACTAAGTTGCTGAGGCTGGCTTCGAACTGTGAACTTCCTGCCTCAGCCTCCCAAGCAACTGGGATTACAGGCATGTGCCACTGCGCCTGCTCTCATGTTCCAATTTTCTCAACTGTTAAATAGGGAAAATAATAGCACAACCTTGTAGAGTTTAAGTGAATTAATAAATATAAAATGGTACAACAGTGACACATACTGAGCCCTTAATAAAAGTGAGTATTCACTGATTTTTTTCAACTAATTGTTTATGCATTATTCCTGCCCTCCCCATACTCCTGTGAGATGTTCCCTAACTTTTGTATGAGGAAGATATAAATCATGTAGCACAGTTGTCCATGTTCTTTGTACAGCCCTGACCCTGACTCTTGCTGTTTCTGTTGCATTAATTCAACTCAAATACTTACTATGAATCTCCACATCCTGCGGCAGGCACAGTGATTGGGAGTCCTTAATATTCTGTGTATCATTCTCTTTTCCAACTCATCCCATCCTATCCAACTCTCTTCTTCTATTCATTGGATATTTCCAATGAGTCATACACAATACTAAAATGTTTCTTTCTTTTTTAAAAAGCTTGTTTGCTTCTCATAAAAGCCCTGTTTGAAATGGAGACCATGATTTTTCTTGCTTTATAATTAAGGAAAATGAGCCTTAAAGAGATTAACTGATAAAACTGAAACCTCAAAATTAAAAAGTAGTATATCTTTTCCTGTACTTTCCTAGTAAAAATGTGCTCGGAGTGAGGGGAGCCCTGCTCTCTAATTGGAGGTACACTACTGCCCAAGGAGTTGATGCTACTCTTCTGGTTCACTTCCTTGCAAAACACAGAAGCTGGAAGAAATGTGACAGCTATGCATTTGAAATTTTTCATCTTCCAGGGATTGTATTAGGTTCCAGGGACATAAAAATAGAAAATTCTTTGTCAGTAGCTTCAATTTGTTTAGTATCTATTATTTTCTGTACATGAAAAACTTAGTGGATTAAAACAGTGACTCCCTGTTTCTCATTATTCTCACTAGGTAGTTCCAATATTGCTTACAGTCAATCATGTGAATTCTTTCAGTTGGGAACTTAGCTTGGGGGTCTAAGATGGCTTCACTTACACATCTTGCAGTTAGTGCTCGCTGATGGCAGAGGGCCTCTGTTTTCCTCCCAAGAATTATGCTTCAGAGCCTCTCACCATGTGAGATCTCCAATAGCATAGTCTGGTCTTCTCGACATGGTCATTGGCTTCCAAGGGACTGAAAATGGAAGCTACGTAGTTTCTCAAGGCCTCATTAGAGAACTCACACAGCATTACTTCTGCCACATTCTATGCGTCAAAGTAAGTTATAGGGCCAGATCAGATTCAGGGGCAGGGGAAAAGACTCTATCATTTGATGTGAGTAATGGCATAGGATCACAAGGATGGGAGGGGTTGCCGTAGCCATATATGGAAACAACCTGTTACCCTCACGTCCATGTATCTCTTTAGCCAGAAAACAGAGTTTTAAAGCTAGAAGACTCCTTAACTGTCATAGGATTCAACCCTGTCATGCTCTGCATGTTTGCATCCTCCTCACATTCATAGTATAATCACCAATAGGAGGCAGAGCCTTTAGAGAAGTGCTTAGTTCATGAGGCTCTGCCCTCCTCCTGTTCATGAGGCACCTGTCTTCCTGTTCCTGGGCTAGGCACCAAGGGTCTTTGGTGGTTTGGCCTCATTGGCCAGCACTGCCCAGGTGTGCCTTCCTTGTCATTGCCTTTTCTGTATATTCTGAGCTTGAAATGATGCTGGGCTTTACCACATGCAAAGAAAGTAGCAGCTCAAACCCCGACAGATGTTATGAAATGAAATCTAGCACACTTATATAACATTTTGGAACAGTCCATTACACTGCTGTACATTTTTCTAAGATCCACAGACAACTGCTGCAATGTGAATCATGTTGCTTGATTCAGAATGGAGCAGGTGATCCATAAGTGATAATTTTCCTCAGCATAACAACAAACCTGAAAATAATTTAGAGGTTCTATTTTCTCAGATCATTAGGATGTTATTTTGGATTATTTCCAGCCTGCTGCATGGAGGATAGATATTTATTTTGTCTTGAAGTCAATATTTGTTATCAAATACAGTTCTGGTGTTACCCCAGGCCTCATGAGTGTGTATAGCTCTTATTGATGGTTAAGGTAAATTAAGATTATAATTCTTAGCTTTATTGCTTCCTGAAGGCCACAAATTTCCTAAGAAATGGTATCTCCAGAAAAAAAAAATCTTCACTAGATTCCTGCTATCCTGAGTCAATTATTGATGGAATAAAACCTTTTCAAATTCTAATAACATTTATTATTTTACAGATTAAAAATAATATTTGTTTATTATATAAAATTTGGAAAAGGCAGCACTCCAAGGAGAAAATACAGATCACTCACAAATTCACCTTTTGGTCAAAACCACTATTAACAGTTTTAGTGTATATTCTTCCTAACAGAGAGAGTATTAATTCTAGAGATTAATATGAAAAGAGTATAAATATGCATATAGCACTGGGTTTGATCCCAACTCCACACACACAAAGATTATCTTGTGAACTAATTTTGCAACCATATTTTTGTATGTGTGCTTTGTTTAGTTTTATCTAAATATACCAAGACTATGTCTAAATGTCATTAAATATTCTTCTACCTTACACAATGAATCTTTCTCTCATTTTGACAGGACAGTGATATTGAAGCATTAGCCAGGTGTTTGGAAAATGTCCTGGGTTGTACCTCTCTAGGTGAGTAAGTTTCTTCAGATTCCAAATGATAGTGTTACTTAATGATTCTGATGGAATATCCAAAAGTTAGAATGCTTAGAAGGAATCTTATAGGTACTTTGCCCAATCTCTTCATTTTACAGATGAAGAAACTGAGGCTAATAGAGGCTGAGTGTCTGGCTAAGGAGTCAGGAAACTCAAGGAAGAATTGCTTATTATTATTATTATACTATAAATGACCTTTAATCTCCAAGGATGAAATAATTGAAAGTTGGTAGTTCCTCGTGATCAAATGGTAGCCGGACAGTATGTAATAACAGGTTTACAATCCCGGCACAGGAATCGCCCTACCTAACTTGTTTTATAGAAGCAGATTGCATTCAGTCATGCTGAAAGGACCATCATTCTGAAGGTCAGTCAGTTATTGGAAGAGATTTGGTCTGAAAAACAAAACCAAAATTTCTTTAGCATTGTCAGTCTCGATAAATGAGGTTGCTGTGCTTCAAGGATAAAACCCTATTTCTTAGTGTCTTTTTTTTTTTAAATCCAAAAAGTACAACTGTGATAACTTTTTGCACTAGACAGTATATTTTCAGACAGAGTATTTTTAAAGGCCCTAGATGAAAGGAGTATGAACTTTTCTTTTAAATTTGATTATGAGTTTTTATTTTAGGAATTTTAATTATGTAACCAGAAGCATTCTCTTCAAAGGGAATGGAAGGATTAAAGATGAACAATGAAGCTTTCATGTGAGCAAACATTCACCATTATTTATTAGGAGCTTTATGTACAACATAACCTCTTTCTAACTCAGGCCACATCTCCATGTGGAAAGCCACAGTCAAAACATAGTTCTTTGATCTTTCTCTCCTGACCATCACCCTGTGATGGTTTAATTGCATATTAATGATACTTATTAAGTAAATTTAACTCTTAAGATAGCCTAGAAGGGGATAGGAAGGATTTCCTTTGACCAAGTCACTTCCCCTCTTTGCATCTGAGATTAGATCAGTAATTTGCAAAGTAGGCAGCTCTTGGGACCTCCAAGATTGGGCAGTGGGAAATGTACTGAGCAGCATGAGGACAGAAGCTGTGTTTTTACTGCTTGTCTCTGTTTTTCCAGACTCTAACATTATGTCTGGTGTATAAAAGGCCCTTCAAAAGTATTTTAAAATGTTTTTGGAAGCAATTAGATACAAACTGCCTTCCTTTATCAGCATCCAAGATTGTTTCAATCTTATCTATTTTATAAATTGAATTTCTACATAAAATTGTGTTTTGAAAAAGATAGATTCCACTAAAAAAAGTTAAATAACCTGTGATTGGGTAAGTGATATCTAAATTCCCTTCTAAACTGTATGATTTTGTAGAAATGAGCATTAGACACAAAATATACATTTATCTCTGCCTGGAGTCCCACTAAAGTGACAGTAAAGAAATAAAGCTGCTGATATAAACCTACAAGAAAAAAAGGAATAGAAGAAAGCTGTTGGTGAATTTCAGACGAGGAAAAACAGATGGGTGAGTGGTAACTGATCTAGAAAACAAATCTGAAAGCCAAGTGCCTAAGATGTGTATGGGAGGGAAGAGAGGGCAGGAGGAGGACTAGGAGAAGCAAGCCAACTGAACCCTCAGGATCTTGGAAAGGCTCAGAATTTGGAAGCCCCTGTTACTGCTGAAGGCAAGACGTGTGTGAAGATGAAAATAGGAGGAACGATGACAGTGTGCATAAGTATCAAGAGATCCCAGGTCCCTTTCCCTGCACTGGCACTCCCAGGGAGTTCCTCTCCATAGTCAAGGCAGAAGACACAAGATTTGATTTGGGGAGATTAAATGAGAGAGGTTCTGGACATAGGGACACCAGGGACACCAAAGAGCAGGCCAATGTGATGTGAAAAAGGGATACAGTGAAAATCTGCATGTTGGATGAGGAAATCCCCAGGCACCACTCCTGCTTGGCTTCTGAAATACTTTCAGGACAGCACAGGCCCCTTCAGAAGGTATCTCTCGAAGAGGACCTGTCTAAGAATCCTACAGGCTATGACATTCTCCCTCAAAAATGGTAGGAATAAGCCCTACCAGTTAATGATCACTGGATCCACAGAAAGAGCTTAAATTGTTTGGGTTTTTTTTTTTTTATGTTTCATACTTAGATGTAAACCTATAGCCAATTTGCAGCTGATAGCTGAGGAAATCTAACAAAGATGGATGTCAAAACAAAAATATATAAAATACTCAGGAAACAAACAATGTAGGGGAAAATTTTCAAAACAATGTATTTTTTTAAAAATCGGAGAAGATATTACATCAAAGAAACAAGCAAACAAAAAGGAATATACAGAAAATAAGAAAGAGCTCTTGAAATTATAATTTTAATTGCAAAATAAGAAAATTCAGTCAAAGTTTGGGAGATAAAGTTGAGAATTTCCAGAATTAAAAAAATTGAAAAAGATCAGTCTAGGTGGTTCAGCATCTAATTAATAGAAATTTCTGGAAATAACAGAAAAAGAAGAAATTAATCAAAGGAATAAGAAAAATGTCTAGAGATAATAAAACAGATCATTTATAAGGTATCAGGAAAAAGGATGGGGTCTTATCTTTACTAAAGATTTGTTGTCTAAGGTTTAACCTAGAATTTTTTACATATCCAAACCAACAATCAAGTGTGAGAGAAGAATAAAGACATTTTTCAGGCATGCAGTCTCAACAAATGAGGTCTCAGATATATACTTTCCATGGCTTTTCCTGTAATGTTTCTAGAAGTTATACTCTATCAAAAAATAAGAATAAATCAACAAAGAGTTAGACATGAAGTTTAAGAGATTAACAGGATTCCCACAATGAGAGTAAAGGGAGGTTCCCAGGTGCCAGCTGGACAACAGGCCTGCAGAAAAATCTGTTCTGATTGAAATGGGTCAGAAGGCTGAAAACTGAATGGAATTTTCCTGAGGAGGAATGGATCTAAAGAATTTAACTATAATGAGAGAAGTTTTTAGGTTCTTTGGTGAGTTAGAGATGAATTAGGAAGAAGTAATCAGAAAAGTAAGCAATGTAAAAACTTCAAGGCAATTATTAATTCCAGGAAAAACAAAAAGTTAGAAAGAAAATTTAATCTGCATGCACTAAAGGCTTGTCTGTGCATAATGTTTACAGTCATAATAATTTAAATATTGAATTATTTAAAAACTTATTATACCTATATTGGAACAATGGATATGGAAAGATATGAGGGAGGGAGAGAGGGGGAAAGGGAGAGGGAGAGAGAGGGGGGGGGGGGGGGGGGGAGGGAGATAGAGAACACCTGATGACAGAGGCGGGGAGGAAAAAGAACAAAATTCAAATTCCCATGGGATTCAGTGGCACAAGCTGTAATCCCAGCTACTCAGGAGGCTGAGGCAAGATAATTCCAATTTTGAGGCTAGCCTGGGTGACTTAGTGAGTCCCTGTCCCAAAATAAAATTAAAAGAGTTAGAGATATAGCTCTGTGGTAAAGTATTTGGCTAGCATGCTTGAGACCCTGGGTTTAATCCCCAGTACCATTCACATACACACACACACACACACACACACACTTCAAATTCTCCAAACATTAGTAGGATGTTCATATGTTGTACAAAATGTAAAATAAAAAATAGTTGTATAAATGTGATATGGAAAAACAAAGGTAAATACAAGAATAGTTAAAAAGTTAAATATAGTTGACTTTGGAGAATGGAACTTGAAAGTGAAGCAGGGAACTGCTTTTTTTATTATCAAATTGTTAGCTTTGGCTTTAAAAATTACCATGTATGTGAATTCTTAGACTATAAATCAACTTTTAAAAATGAATATTGGTGTAAACATAAGAGTGCTGCTATTTTCCCCCTTCACCCCAGTAGGGGATTGAATCCAGGGCCTCTCATGCTAGGTAAGTGCTGTTCCGCTGAACTACATCCCCAGGCCTTTTTATGTTATTTTTAGATAGAGACTCACTCAATTGCCCAGGCTAGTCTTGTACTTGAGATCCTCTTGCCACAGCCTCCTGAGTAACTGGGATTATAGGTATGTGGCTCCCTGCCCAGTTTAGGTATCTGTTTGATATGCTGATTTCATTTCCTTTGGATATATACCCAGAAGCTGGAACATATGATAGATATATTTAGTTTTTTAAAGAACTATATTCTCCATAATATCTATACTAACTTATATTCCCACCATAAATTATACAGTTAAAATCATCATCATCATCATCATCATCATCATCATCATCATCATCAAAGAGCATTGGAAAGCAAAGAGCCCATTATTGTTTTTCCATTACTTTATTAATCTCTTATCAAAGCTGGATTAGGAGTTTTGGATACCTTGATTATTGAGAAGAGTATAGTAAACCTAAATTTTTAAATTAATAAGACTTAAATTGTAAAACAAAAAAATTACATGTACCGTGAAGTTAAAATAGCTTCTTTCCAGACCGACCAGTTGCAAGATTCTGAAAAAAAATTTATTGAAGCTGAATGCTTTTCAGTTTGGGATGTCCCTGTTCTTCTTGTGTCCTAGAATCAATTGGCATGATTTATAGGACATTTTAGTATCAACTTTGTGTAAACTGCTAAAGTGCTTGTTTTCTAAAACTGGACAAGACAGGAAGCCCCTTAACCCCTCTACTGCTTCTTTTGACTGTGATGACCTCTTATGGTGACATTTGTGTTGTTGGGTGGTGGAGTCTAACTAATGCTACTACTCAAAATGAGGGGGTCCTTTGATGATGACTTTGAGACGATGGGAGACATTGAGATGATGGGAGCACATGCTTTTGAAATACCTGTCTGAGGAGGGAACTCACAGAATGATCCTCATTACTGAGGAGACATTTGCTACTTTTAGGGTGCCACGCTCTTTTTTGCCTTTACATAGTAACCACCAAGACAATCTCTTGTGGTCTTATAGGGGATGAGAGTTTAGGATTACTGAGGTAGTTGGTATTTGCTTTGCTCTAACTACGGTTTTAGGAGACTCACACATTATAATAATAGAGTTTA